TGATCCACCCGCCTCGGCCTCCCAAAGTGCTGGGATTACAGGCTTGAGCCACCGCGCCCGGCCAATGAATTGCTTTTATTTTTAATTCATCTTAACAGTGCAACTTACTGGTGCGCACAGAGAACACCAGGCGAGCTGTATTCAGTATGCTCATGTTTTATTTACGTAGGTGGCACTTAAGATACATGATGCGTTGAGAGTTACATTGTCCGCAGAAAGCATCAAATACCACTCCACTCCCCACCAAAACCAAATAAACAAAGCCAACTCTTGGGCAACAGCTGTGTTAAATAAAACCACAGATCGAGCTTGCTTCTGGCTCCCAAGCCTGGGTCACTGCTATGTGGATAGCGCCAAAGAATTCCCGGCTTCAACATCGCTGATTAAAACTGCCGGCGTCTTTACATCACACCCAAGCCTCTCACAGTGCCCTCACATCCCAAAGGACAAAGGAAAAGCAACAGGGACAGCGGGTCCTCATGGGAAAGGGAAGGACAGTTGGGGGGCGGGGTGCATGCAGGGAAGAAGGCAAGGCAACCCCAAATTCCGCTCCGTGCTCAGTAACAATAAAAAGAGAAGCAGCAGTACACGATGCAAACGAAGGGCTGCCGGCAGCGGGCAGCATCAGGTCAGAGTGCGGTGACTTTGCGAGGCGTCAGTGCTCCGACCTCCTGGTGCCATCTCTGGGGGTGTTGGGCATGCGTAATGACCCGCCGTTTTCCCCAGCACGGCCCTGACCGAGGAACGCTAGGGAGGGTGCTGCTGAGCAAAAGCCTTTTGCTAAAAAGAATTATGGATCCCAGGAAAAAAATATGGAATCTAGCAAAACCTACACGATATTTGAAGTTGAATTTGGACTACCTGCAGATGAAAATTAAAAGATGAAACAGAGGAATGATTTTACATGTGGTGTGATTCCTGATTCTGTTCGTGTGGCCACATTGCCCTGAGGAAAAGATGCCCTGACCACCAGGATTCAGTGCGTCACTTAGGACATTCTCTAAGTCACACTCTACTGAATTACCCTCTAATTCCAAACACAACACTGCCACAGGAAAGCGCGTCGTTTAGTGAAAGCCACTCAGCTCAGCTGTCTGCCCGGCTGTTCTCCTAACGCTACAAATACCCCAGCAGCATGCGGAGTGGTTGCATGGCCAAAAAGAATGAAGAGGATCCGGAAGCTCTAGAGGAAAACGCTAGCAGACCGAGTGCTGGGAGGGCAGAGGGAGAGCCACGGCCGCGTCCCCGTCCCCAGTGTCCGTGCCCGCCACCCGTGCCATCAGCCCCGCCTCCTGACCCTGCTCTGACTGATCTGTGATTGCATAATCCTGCCGAGCGAGTGTGGCCGCCAACAGTGCTGACCCCACGCTGCTGCCTCGCGCGTGCACACGGCCGCACACCAAGCACGGTGGAGCGCCAGCTCTGGGGGCAGCGAGCCTGCAAGTCCGGTCTAGTGATTGCCTTTGGTTGACTTCTTCTTCTTCGACTCCTCTCTCTGCTTCTGCTTCTTCCTCTTGCCACCTTCTTTGAATCCTAAGGAAACACGGCTTGTAAAACACGGTGCGAAACAGCACTGCTTCCCCAGTAAGAGCCAAGGTGTTTTCTAAGTATCTCCCCATGTTAAGAACAAAAAGCAACGAAGTGAGGTCATCTGCCTCGGCCACACCTAAACCTCAAAGCCTGAGCGAACTTTCCAAGGTGCACGTCGAGAACAGCTCCCATTATTCAGAGAACTTCACCACCCTGCAGAGAAGTGGGCGACTCCCACTGCCCGAGTTCAGCGGCAGAGCTGGAAGCCCACCCTGGGGATGGCTGCACCTCAGGGCCAGAAGCCCCCCCGGGCCCTCCTTCAGAACACACCCAGGGCCTGTGCAGAGCCACGCCCACCTGTAGGGAGGGTGCCCACGGCATCTCCTACGCTCCCCCAGTGCTGGCCACAGTGAGGCCTTTCTGCAGGCAAAGCCTTGCTGTGGCCCAGCCTCATGCTTGTGGGCTCTGTGGCATCCAGCGTGAAGGTCCCGTTTCTTACTTGAGGAAAGTGACCTTGCATCTCCCTGCTGCCGAGGTCAACGGCAGCCACTGACTGACCCAGCTGAAGTGCAGGGAGAAAGACGCCCACCCACTGAGCAGTCGATGCAACATGCCACAAATACAGGCCTGGCTGCAGCCCTGCAGAAGGAGTCTCAGACTCAGCGTGTGTCCATGTGGGTGCAGGAGACGGGCCTCATGTTGAGTCGGGCAACAACTGTCAACACGACTGATGTGACTGAGCACAGGGTTCATGACCGGCAGCAGGCAGGTGGAACTGGGTCCCACATGCACGGGCCCCCGACCTGCCAGGAAGACCCTCTGAAGACCCGCACAACCTCACATGGTGGCGGCGTGCACCACAGGGAGGAGTCTGCTCACAACCCTCTTGGGGACCCAAGGCCCCACCCACACTCAGGACTCGCCCCAGAGAATCAGTCATAGGTGGGCCAGGTACCAGGCTTCAACTAGACACATCTTCCCCGCCCAGCGGACGGCCGCCACACTGACTAACATGTCACAGGGTGCAGGCCCATTGAATGTGGCTCGCACACATCCTGCACCACAGTGGGGCAGACACACGCGGACTTTCACATGTGCTGTGGCTCTCACCACAGAGCACTGCCTGGACCCGACAGCTCTCCACAGAAGGGGACGTGCATGCAGACGGGAACGAGCCTGCAGGTCCAGTCCACACCTGCAGCCACGCAACATGCCACACTTGCCCATGGCTTGTGCGTGGCAGAGGCTGCCACCTCAGGGTGCTTTCCATGCAGGCGGGTGCATCCTGACCGTCCCACAGGAGCAGCATGAGATACACATGCTGTGAAACACCAGGCCTCCCATGCTGCGTGTTTAGGAAGCAGGCCTCAGTTACAGAAAGACAGGAACAGAGGGGGCTGCGTGTCACCGGCCGCTGTGCAGAGGCCGCCAAGGACCTGCTTCCAAAGTCAGGAGGCGGCTCTTTGGAAAAGGCAGAGGACAGGAAGCGGGAGAAGCCAGAAGATGCCCCACCTGAGGCGTGTATGGGGAGCCTCGGGGCGACTAAGTTTGGTATTTTGAGGACTGTATCTCAAGTGAGAGTTCATTTCCAGCCTAAAAAATATCACGCCGTAGACCCACCCAGGCCTGGGGGCCGCACACCTGGCTGTGAGTCCTGAGGGGAAGCTTGCTCACTCCTGGGAGCTCGGACAGGACCTGCTCCATGCAGGGACCAGTTGGATGGCTGGAGGCAAAAGCAGGAGCCGTCAGCACTGCCGCGGCTGCCCACCTGTTTTCAAGAACCTTGTCCAGGACTTGCAAATCCCGCAAAAAGATGAGAGGGGGGTCTTCCAGGCACCCAGAGGCCTGGCCAAGAGTCACGAGTTTTCTGTGACAAGGGGCTCCAGGGAAAACAAGACCTTCAGCGCTCAGCCCTGTCTCCCCCCGAGCCTGCAGGGGCGGGGCCTTGCTCAGCCTCCTCCTTGCCACTCACCAGCACCCGGGCACCACGGGGTGGGTGAGAGAGTCGCAAACAGCCTCTGCAGAGACCAAAACCATCTGCTGTGCGGCTTGCTCCAGCTGCGTCCCCAACTCTGCGGGGGTTTCTCAAGTCTTCCTTTGAGTCAGCTTTATCTCTCAGTAAGAACTTAAGTAAAAGTCTCGGACATGTGTTCATTATAGATTTGTAGGAAAATCAGGTCCGTAGATCATTGAGGGTTACTTGGGCAGCCTCAAGATCTCATGAAATGACTGGAAAAAAGAAAACAAAAGAAGAAAAGCCGAGGGACAGACGCTCCAGACAGGACCCGGGCAGAAACAAAAGCCTTCACTTGCCGATTTGGTGTCAAGGATTTGTGTGGGAGTCAGCAGTCAACCAGGTTCCCCCTCAGAAATGGTGTCCTGCCGGAGGATGCAAACTGGCAAAGCCATGAGGTATGGGGACAGCAGCTCCTGCCCTTGCCATCAGCCCTGCCCACGGCCACAGCCACGGCCACGGCCACGGCCACGGCTGGCCACAGGCCCAGGAGGAGGAAAACAGCCCAGTTCTGAAATGATTGTGTGGCCTGGGGCCTCTGCCAGGTGCTGCTCACTGTGCTTTCCCACGACTCCTCCAGGGGACCGCACCCGCACACCATTCTTGGGGACTGAGAAGTCACAAGGACCCTTGCAGGCCAGGCTTCCGGTGGTTCAGGGATGCCACAGCCATGACCCTGCTCTATCCTGCAGCTCACAAAGACCCACGGACAAACACTGCCCCACTCCCTCCTGCCTGCAGACCCTCACACCAGCCGCTCAGCACACAGGGAGTTCTTTCTAGGTGCATGCAGCCTGCAAGTGCCTCTGTGTGTCACTCAGTGACATAGCACAGACCAGCATGGCAAAGGCTGGCGCAGCAGGCGGGCAGGCAGCTGGCCGGAGGGGCTGTGCCCACCCACGGGAAGCGCCTTCCGAGGCCCTCGAGGCAGAGTGCACCTTCCGTCCTCCTCAGAGCCGGCAACTATTTCACCCGAGAAGGGCTGAAAGGGGCTAATTTTTCAAGAGAAAGTTCTGTGAAGGGCAGAAGAGGGAAACCACCCCGCTTTTTTTCATGTCCCGCTTAGACAGTGCTGTTCGGCCCACGTCCACAGACGTGACCTCACGACATTGCCTAGCTCCCCCACACACAGAGATCAGCCACCATGTCCTCCTGCCGACAGGAGTGGCCGGGTCGCCTCACTGCTGCTGTGATGAGAGCCAGAAGCAGCACAAATCCCTCCAACTGAGGTGAGAGTCACACTACACTGGCCCTGGGCTTTCGGATGCGGCCGGGCCGAGCCTGCATGCACGGCACATCCTCGGGCACCCCAGAGCTTCTCTGGGACACTCAGAGACTATGCAGCTCCCTAGGAGGTGGGAGGGGGGCAGGGCGGCCGGGAGCCCCACAGCGGGTGGGCGGGCAGAACCGCTTCACAAGGAGGCCTGACTCAAGGGGGTCTTTGGTTCTGCACCCCAAGCTGAAGAAGGCACGAGAAGGTGAAGCTGGTGGAGGGCAGGGGCAGTCACAGTCCCCACCGGCGCGAGACCACCTGGCCTAAGCCACGGGCCCCAAGCTCTGTGCTCAAAGCTACGAAAAGGCACATCTATGGGAAAAGCAGCACCTAGCCCTGCGCAGCAGCTCACACCCTCTGCAGAGCCACACGCTGTGTGCAGGGCACGGGACCCCGTTTTAATGGTGGGGGCCCGGAGCCACGAGGCGTGGGGCCTGTGGGCGGGAGGGGAGCAGAGCGAAGCCACGTCCTCCCGCCCCGCACAGCCGCCCCACCCGCTCAGGTCAGAACGCAGCAGCACAGGTGCCGTTTCTGTCCTCGCTGTCCTCTGGCACCCGGGGAAGTCTCACTCTGGGCCCGCTCCACGGCCTCCTCCCTTTGCACACCTGCTGCGGACGCGAGGGAGTCCCAGGGCCCGGACACCCAAGGTCGGTCCTGCTCGCCCTCCTCCTCATAGAGACCGTGGGGCGCGTGTCTGAACAGCGAGGCAGGCCGGGTTGGCTTCGGCGGGCGGAGGCTGGCGGGCTGGGCTGGCAGGGCGTTCTGGCCTCTCCGCGCACACTCAGCAGCGAGGGCATCCTCATCAGCCACACCTGCAAGCACAGCGGGAGACCGTGAGTGAGCGAGGGAGGCAGGGGGTGGAGGGGCTGGCCGCACCATCTCCATGAATCCAGCCGTGTCCTCTCTGTGGAGGAGAAAGAGGTTATCTCATTTCTTCACGGGCTCTACTGGGGCCAGAATTCAATTCTTAAGAGGGGGAAAAGAAAGAGTCCTCTGAACATCACACCTCTCTCTCCTGAAAGAAGTGGCTCCCCACCCCACCCACTTTAGCACAATCAACACGCCCCTTCCAAGAGTGTGTCCCACTGAAATCACGGTCCAGGACTAAGCAATTCATTGTCAAAATCAGCCAGCTGGGCCACCCTGAGGAAGAAAGGCGCTGGGTCCGGTCAGCGATTTCCTCCTCAGAGTCCATACACAGAAGACATCCCCTTTCCTCCTCGTGCTGGAATAATCCGTCGTGGCAGCAGCGGCACCCACAGGAGCCACACCCCGCCCAAGGCAGGGCCATCCGGCCACGCCCATGCAGGTGCAGCCGCAGCTCCAGCTCCAGCCCCGCACCACACACACACCCAAGACTCCTCAGTGCTCTGAAAGTTGTGCTTGTATCAGTCTTCTGAAATACAGAAAAAGTCATCGGAAGGCCATGCATTTAAAAGAAAAGAAATATAGAAAAAAACGTTTTGCCCACCGATGGATACGAGGAATAAAATAAGCAAACGATATTCAATATTGGACATTCAATAATTCGATAATCTCCACCATGACTCTCCGAATGTCTGCGTGGCAGTTGCCACATGGACGTGAGGGAGGCGGCCGGGTCAGAGCTCCAGGAGCAGGCATGCGAGGCCGAGGGTGGTGGGATTCCTCGTCCCTCTGCAGAGTCTAAAATGTGCCTAAAACGTGTCACACCCAGTACTTTGGACCCGAGCCCTGCCCAGATGTAAAGCAAGGCAGGCCCTCCCGTGGCACAACACAGTCTACACAGAGGCGGCCCGTCCTCCTGGCTTCCCGCAAGCACGGGGAGCACTCGGCCACTGGAACATGCCTGAAATGCAACGGACTGAGATCAACCGGCGCTGCAGAGCATCTTCAAGGAAACTGGCCTGTAAGCCAATTCCAGTGCCGAGCGCCAGGCCCGGGGTCGGAGTGGAGCTGAAATGTGGCTCACCCAGAACGGAGGACCGGCTTCGAGGTCAGGAAGGACCCTGCTCTCAGGCTGTCCCCTCAGGCCAGGGCTCCAGTCCTTAGGACCACAGTGCTCACCGAAGGAGGGCCCTCACTGCGTGTGGAAATTCATCTCCAAGAAATACCAAGACCTGGGCAATCTGCAACCTGCCGCCTGTGTGTCCCCAGAGGGGAGAGCGAGCCGCACACACCTGGAGTCACAGCACGGTGCCCACAGGGCTCAGTCGCTTCTGGAACTCAGCAATCGCAGGAGGCGGTGCAGGCCTCAGACGTCGCCTTCTACCCAATCCTATTTCCCCACACTTTGAACACAGAATCGTGATTTTTGGGACCATTTAGCCAAGCACAGCAAACCCACGGTGCAAGGTTTCACGAACAACACCCCATTGCCAACGGCCGTCCTGCACACCCTGCCGGGGGACTGTGGGACCTCTGCTGAGACGGCCGCACCCCAAGAGCGCAGGCAGGTTCCTCAGCGTCACGCGGGTCGGAACCGCTGAGCTGAGAGGGGTCACCTGCCCGAGGCTGCTCCTCCTTCGGGATCTCCGTGTGCTCACCTGCAGAATGAAGGTGGCCTGGATGCCGTCTGCGATTCTATGATTTGAGTGAAGGAGGAGCACCCGGCACACAAGCCATGCAGGCAGTCACGTGTGCGCACAGCGCTTCCTCAATGCGTCTGCAGCCAGAGGAAATGTGCCAGGGCCCCCGGGCCAGGCCCCAGTCGCAGGCTGGGAGCGAGGGCTGTGACGGACACCCAGGACACTCCCAGGACACAGCTTCTCAGCAAACCAAACTGATTCCCAGCTGCCTGGACCCTTGCGGGAGAGTGGGACATGTGGGGACAACGCTGCAAACTCACTGTTGTGTGCCAATGTGGCTCCAGACCTGACGCAGAAACTCACAGGAGCCGCGTCTCGAGACGCATCTGAGGCTCCTCCAGCCACACTCGTGGACCCTGGGCTGCCCCGGTCCCCAGGACACCAAGGAGAGACTCAGCACAGGTGCTCCCAGGGCGCTGCGTCCCACCGTGGAGGGACAGAGGAGTGGAGGGCCCCACACACGCAGCAGCAAAGGGCCCACTGGGGCCAGCCAAGCCCGGCCGCCTCAGGAGGACCGCACCAAAGAACTCTGACATGACTTTTAAGAATTATAATCTGCCAGCTAACGTGGAACATTTGAGGAAGAAATTTAAAGTTTCTGGTGTGTGACACAGTGAACTAGACCCTGAACATCCATAGCTGTGAAGTCCTCCTGGGCAGGGCGACATAGCGAGCTCTGAGACCACCGGAAGAGCCACCGCTGCCTGCCCAGCCACACGTCCCGGCGCCCGGGAGCTTCAGAGCCAAGCGAGAGCCCCTCGCCCGCCCAACTCCACTCGGGGGCGGGGGGGGGGGAAACGGGGGTGGCGTAACCCCGCACATCCCGGCTCATCCCAGCTCTGGGAAGCCCAGTCTCACTGACAGTTGCAATTCTGCACTTCTAGCTCGGCCACAGTGGGGACTTCCCGCCTCAGCTGCGCCTGCACCTCTGGTCCACAGGTGAAAACGCGCCCTTGGGTGGGTGTCCAAGGTCCCATCTTCAGAGCGCTGTGGATCAGCCGGGGCTGACATCACCTGGGGAGGGCCAGGCTGTGGGTCCAGCCTCCTCCCACCACGATGGCAGAGAAACGCGCTGCCTTCAGAGCTGCTCGGTGAGGTTCTGCTTTACTGTCTGTTTAGAAAAAGGCCCCGCTGAGACCTAAACCTGATATTTTGAAAACAAGTACCGAAGACACCTGCAGCGTCCAAAGCTCCCCGCGTCATCTCCTCAGAGGCTGAGGCCACTGGGCAGGCGCCGGCGTCCTTCCAACCCCGGGCGGCTGCGCTGGCAGCTGCAGGCACAGAGTGGCCCTGGAGTGACGGGGAGGAAGGCGCAACTCCATGGCCATGTCCACAGGGCAGCCTGGCTCCTGCAGATGCCTGTGCCCCTGTCCTCTCCAGCACAGCTTAGCAGCTCAGCCCCCACCACCAGCCACAGGTCCAGGCAGTGCCCAGAAGCCTCCTCCCCTCCCTCCCTGTGAGGAGGGCTGGGGCTGGCATGCATGGCAGGTGGATAGCGGCTACTCAGGTCTGGTCTCTGAGCAAACCCTTCTGGCCCCAGCGGCAGGACACAGTCCCCACCCCAGCCACCCACAGGGCCTGTGTCCCCAGGCGGAGCACACAAGGGACTCCCCAAGGTTCCCCTGAAACGTCATGGGTAGTGAGCTGCCAGGAAAAGTGACTTGGGGAAGATGAAGGTGGAGATGAGGACCTCCTTATCCACATCTCCCTGCATCGCCTGGGGAGCCACGTGGCGCACTGCTGCTCCAAACCCCCATGCCCAGCCTCCCGTAGGCACGGTGGGGTGCCAGCGTGGGCAGGGAGCAGCCACCTCACAGTTGGGATGCAGAGGCGCAGGCAGGGGTCCTCTGCCGTCTGACAAGAGAGACACTGTTGGTCTGAACAGGAGGATTGCCCCACTCAGCCTCGATGGTTCTAACTGTTCAAAGCCAAGGCTCCAGGCATCCTGCTGCTGTGCCAACCCCAGCTCTGTGCCTGGCACTGCCGGAGGCTCTGTTCAACTCACTGGCAGGCGAAGCTGTCGCCTCTGAAGTTCTAACCTGCCTGTAGATGGAGCGGTCCCACCCCACTGCCTCCCACAGCTTTCCAGCAAGAAAACTGAAAGAGAAAGAGCAAGTGGCTGGAGAGCAGTCACGGACGGACAGCCGGGCTACGGGAGAGCTGGAACAAGCACCACCCCATGGTCCTCGCCTCTGCCTCGGCCTCCCGGTCCCCCGCAGGCCAGGGTTATCCCATCTCCCTCCTGGCCGCAAGGGGATCAGCCCTGAGGCTCGGGTTTAACTGGCACAGGATGCAGCCCGGTGCAGTCTGTCAAGGTCCCAGGAGACTGCACAGTGAGCTTCACACCGTGACACGCTCTCCAACGCCCCAGGGCCTCACAGGCTGACAGGGCCACGGCGGGAACCCTGGGGTCCCCAGAGACCAAGGCAGGTGTTCCTACAAACCCTGCATCCCAACCCATCTGCCTCCCACTCACCGCGAGGAGGATGGAGCTGGGGCTGCTGATGCTGAGAAACGCGCCTCACGGGATATGGGAGTGCCCAGACCACACTCCTGCCTGAGTCCCAGCACGGGGTGAGCCAGCCTGGAAGCAGGCGGCATGCTCAGGGCTGAGGGCACACGAACTCAGCACACTTCCCACAGCAACCCCCTCTCCCACCGCAACTCCCAGGACACTCTCTCAAGCATCCGGTTAGAACCTGTGCAGCGCCTGCAGTTACCAAACACCTCCTTGTCGGATTCAGAATTTCCCCAAACCACCTTCTCATCTCTACCCTCGCGGCTTCCCACGTGCGGGAGGCCGGGAGACAGCGCTCTTCGGGGCGTGTGCACCAAGGCGAGCCTGTCGGTGACCCAAGGACCCTGCCTCCAGCGCTCAGCACACCCACCCTTCGGTTCTGAGGATTCTGTCCTCTCCTGCGGGGAAGGGCCCAGGCCACATCAGTGTGTTCACACAAGTAACTGTTACAACCACTCCTTTAAAAAACACTGCACAGGCTGGGCACGGTGGCTGGTACCTGTAATCCCAGCACTGTGGGAGGCTGAGGCAGGAGGATCACTTGAGCCCAGGAGTTTGAGACCAGTTTAGGTTCAAGATCAGCTTGGGTAACACAGAAAGACCCCATCTCAGCCGGGTGCGGTGGCTCAGGCCAGTAACCCCAGCACTTTGGGAGGCCAAGGTGGGCAGATCACTTGAGGTCAGGAGTTCGAGACCAGCCTGGCCAACATGGTGAAACCCCGTCTCTACTAAAAATACAAAGAATTAGCCAAGCGTGGTGGCGCACCTGTAATCCTAGCTACTTGGAAGGCTGAGGCATGAGAATTGCCTGAGCCTGGGAGGCAGTGGTTGCAGTGAGCCGAGACCACACCATTGCACTCCAGCCT